CATTGTCATTGCTTATTGCCGGCTCGACTGGCCCCACAGCTGACGAGCAAAGGTCTAAGCCACTGTGAGCATTCAGATCTCCCAACAGCCAAACACGTGTACGAGCTGGCAAGCCGTGAATGGTCTGCTGCAATTGCGTGAAGAAAGCTTGCTTCTCACTCTCTGGAGCAGTTTCTTGAGGAGCGTATGCAGTGATAAAAGCATTATCATGTGGCCGTCTGCTTCTTCTATCAACTACCCTGACACCCCCAAAACGACCAACAGCGCCCTGTCCAGGGTCTAACCGCCAGTGGATGTGTTCCTTGTCACAGAAAGCACTGCTAAGCAGCAGAACAACTCCTGATTGGACATTGCTGGGGTCACGTCTCCAAGAAAAACAGTGAAAAAGTGGTTGACCATGCCGGTTCTTCACTACCCATTCTTGCCTCACTGTGTCACGCCTACAACATGTGCACTGCAACGCGGCTACATGCACACCACGCACGTGCAAATCCTCAGCTATTTCCACCAGTCTGGTCTGATCAAAGCCAAGGGTTCTGCAGTTATACGTCAGCAGTCGCAGCGTGAGAGTGTTTGACTTGTCAAACTCTGCAGTGCGGCTTTGCGACGGCAAATGCACTTGTCCATCATTTCGCCTAAACGGAAGCAAGGGATCCCGCTGCCACCAATTCCTTTGGAAAAAAGGCAGCCAGGTGCGCCTCTTGCTGAATCAATTGCCCATGATATCTCACCCATCCCCATAAAAAGAAATGCCGAAGTGCTCTCATGACTGCTCTTTTCTGTGCAGGCCCAGCGCGAAGGTTGCCACGTGCTTCTGTGGTTGGTGGCATCACCTGGTCTGAGTGGGGGTCGCGCCCCCCACTCACCCTCGCTCCAGCCTGATATCACAGCAAAGGCTTCACGACATGGCCCCCGGATTTGGGACCGGGGCTCTAGCCTTAGCTACCTGGGCATTTCGGCCGAGAGGAGCTTAAAAAACTATATGTATATGAATTAAAACATTAAAATTCACTGTTAATTAGCGTGTTTTAACATATTTGTATATTAAATTGATTTCTGGAATTGGCGATCCCTTTGAATTCAATATGTTGAATATTTAAAATATGTTTTACTAGGCGGAATATTTAACACATTGAATTCAATTTTGAATACTTTAAATCTGTTTGATAGGTGGGACGGTGGGATGCTTGAAATACTGAAAATATTGAATTCAAAGGGGTTGCCAATTCCCGGAATCAATCTTAATATTTAAAACAGTTCAAACATTTAAACATTACATTCAATTTTAATTCAATATTTTCAATATTTTAAATATTACTACTATTAAACATTTTTTAAACTACTTAAAATATTTGACAAAAATGGAATTTAAGGCGTAACATATTTTAGATATTCCGCTTATTGAAAAATATTCAAAGCATTTAAACTATTGAGTTCAATTTTAATCAACTTTTTTGAATGTTTAATATTTAGATTGATTCCTGGAATTGGCGACCCCTTGGAATTCAATATTTTAAATATTCTTTAATCGGCGGAATTTTTAGACTATTTGAAATATTGAACTCAATGTTAAGTAAATATGTAATAAATATGTTAAATGGTTTTTTATGCTAATAGACCGACTTTTTGAACATTTATAATATTGAACTCAATTTTAGCTAAATGTTTAAATGTTTTAGTATTAAATGGATTCCTGGAATTGGCGAACCCTTTGAATTGATTTCTTTTAAATATCCTAAATATTCCGCCTATTCCAAAATATTGAAGATATTTAAGATTTGAAACTGAATTCAATATTTTTTATTTTAAAAGCTCAATAGGCGGATTATTTTATAATACTCAAAATATTGAATTTGAAGGGGTTAAATATTCCGCCTATTAAAACAATATTTAAAATATCCAAAATATTAAGTTCATTTTGATTAGATATTATATTTTAAAGATCACCACCCCTTGCGGTGCTTGACCCCCCCCGGGAGGGTCAAAATTGTAACTTACATTTTTTGACTTCACAACAATAGCTTTATATAGCCCTATAGGGGGGGGGAAAATTGTAAGATCTAGGGTTGAGGTAGCCTATGTGAGGATGTTACTTTTTTTTGACCCGGGGGGTGGAAATTGTAAGAATCTATGGGTGGGTACCACACAGAGCAATTTCCCCCCCCCTTGTCGACGTTTTACGAGTGTGTTTTGTAATAGCTTTGAACCTCTCTGCTTCGACAGTTTCCACATGCCTTTGGAACATGAACTTGGGCATCTTGAGCTCAAGATTGAGCTTAATCCGGAGATTCTCGCTTTGCTTTCGTGCAGCACAAATGGCTCAACCGAGATCAACCGAAAGTTAGAACAACCGAAAGGGAAAGGGAGATAAAGTGGAGGACTCGATGCTCTTGTCTAAACATGGTGTCCCTGCCACTGGAGACTACAATTCTACCCTAGACATCCTTGAACGACCTGTACTTCTTATATAAATTGTTGGAGCAATGCTTTCCACAAAAAAACATGCGCAACACACACTGTATAGTGCAAACAAATGGCAACCTTACAATTATACCCCTAAAGCGACATGTATCTGGTAAAGCTCTGAAGCCCCTCTCTCTTCCAGATATGTTTAAGGCCACTGCAACCTGGGAAAAATACTACACGGAATGTATTTTAGTGCGCCCACAAGTCCATATCACAATTACAGCCTTCTTCTCCGACTATTGAAGCTCGTAAGAGAAATGTTGAAGCCGGAACATGAAAGGAAAACACTGCGCAGGGTGTACCATAGCGCAGCCCGAAAGCCATATTACAATTAGTTCCCCCCCTCCCGCACTGGTAAGGTCCTCCCATAAATGTTGAGGCAGGCACAGCCGAGGAAAAGCACCGCACAGTGTGTGTGTTTAGTGCACCAACAAGTCCACATAACAATTAGAACACCCTTCTGCCACTCTTCAATTTTGTGAGAGAAATGTTGAAGCCAGAACATGAAAGGAAAACACTGCACAGGGTGTACCATAGTACAGCCAGAAAGCCATATTACAGTTAGTTCCCCCCCTTCGCAAGTCCACATAGCAATTAGAACACCCTTCTGCCACTCTTCAATTTCGTAAGAGAAATGTTGAAGCCAGAACATGAAAGGAAAACACTGCGCAGGGTGTACCATAGTACAGCCAGAAAGCCATATTACAATTAGTTCCAGCCCTCCCGCATTGGTGAGGTCCTCCAACCAAGGTTGAGGCAAGGACAGCCCAGGAAAAGCACCGCGCAGTGTGTGTTGAGTGCACCAACAAGCCCACATAACAATTAGAACACCCTTCTGCCACTCTTCAATTTTGTGAGAGAAATGTTGAAGCCAGAACATGAAAGGAAAACACTGCACAGGGTGTATTATAGTACAGCCAGAAAGCCATATTACAATTAGTTCCCCCCCTCCCGCACTGGTGAGGCCCTCCAATAAATGTTGAGGCAGGCACAGCCTAGGAAAAACCCCACACAGCACGCACTACCTTAGTAGAGTCTCCAATGACCCTTGTCCAAGAAAAAGATGAAAGAAAACACCTTCTTTTACGAAATGTGCCTCTTTTGTTTGCGCCCTGTCACACCCTCCTTAGACTGTGTCCTGAATGAATTGAAAGGCGTCTTTTTGCGTTTCGCTTGAGCAAGATTCACTCTGTTATATTATTGACCTAGTGTACCCAGCAGGAAATATTACAATTAGACTGCCTTTCCCACTGGCCAGAATCTTCGGGCGCAGCCGCTACACGCCAACACTTCCAAGGGAAAATGCGGCACAGTGCAAACTTGTGATCAACCGAAAGGGAAATTGTAAGTTACATTTTTGAGGGTGAGGTAGAAGCATGGACCCTCACCCTCAAAAATGTAACTTACAATTTTTGAGCGCGTGCAGGCCGAACGAACACACACGAGGGTCAAAAATGTAACTTACAATTTTGACCCCTGTTTTGTGAGATGGAGGTATGTCAGACCTGTATGTTTCAAATTTCACCGTTTTCCAAAACCTGCATTCTGACACACCCGAAATTGTAAATTACATTATTGACCCCCCCCGGGGGTAAGGTAGTAGTGATATTTTAAAGTATTTTTCAATAGGCGGAATATTTAACATATTGGGGTCGCCAATTCCAGGAATCAATTTATTATTTAAATCATTTAAAGCGTTTAGCTAAAAGATTTTTTAATATATTAAATATTCAGGCCATTAACAAATATTTAAAACATTAAATTCAAGTTTAAACCGCTGGTTCAAAAGGTTTTAAGTATTAAATTAATTCCTGGACTTTGCGACCCCTTTGAATTCAATTATGCCGCCTATTAAAAATATATGAAACATATTTAATCAAAAGCGAATTCAATATTTTAAATATTTCAATATTAAATTGATGCCTGGAATTGGCGACCCCTTTGAATTCAAGATTTTAGATATTTTAAGTATGTTTTTAATTGGCGGAACTTTTGAACTATTTAACTTTTGAATAAAATTGGAACTTAATGTTCTAAATTGTTTAAATGATTTAAATTCTATATAAATTGATTCTGGGAATTTGCATCTCTCTTGAATTCAATATTTTAGCGTAAGAAACTTTTAAAACATTGAATTCAAGTTCAATTAAACATTTCATATGGTTTAAATGTTCCTAATCAATTATATATAGCATTCATAGATCATTAAGGTCACATTGTACTTATTATTCACTCGTACGGCGGGTGGGGGGGTACGAGGGAATAACCGTGCCACGGGTGGGGGGGGGGGCTGATAATGACGTGCGGTTTCTGGTTGCGGTCCGGTCTTAGTTTCCGAATCATGTTTTCCAAATCATAATTTCCGAATCAGAGGGTAGTTTCCGAATCATAGTTTCCGATTTGGTGATAGTTTCTCAATCAAGACTTTCGGTCAGTGCTGACCCTCAGCTACCACACACGCAACAGTTTGTATTGTATCATGGTGGCAGTCTTTGGTTTTGGCTGCGCTGCATGGCATTCCGTCAGTGTCTCAGGTAGTGAACCGGGGTGGTTGGGGTCGATGCCCAGGGATGGAGGACTTCAGTGCTACATCCGACTTCCTTCTTTTGGAAAATTTGTTTGACAATGGATCCCACGCCGCTGTGCTAGATGAGAACTTCGCAGTGCAAGCGGTCTCAAAAATTGAAGTTCATGGTGATCTGGACTGGAAACATGCAATTGTCGACGTCAGATTGTGGCTATCTTCTGAAGGTGATGTCATCATTGCTTTTCTTCCGTACTTTCTGGGTGAAATCAGCAATCCGTTGATTGCCAAGCTGCACCTGAGTGCTACAGACTGTGGTGCCCTCCGGGCCTGGATAAGTCGGGATGAGGTGAGACGGCCGCAAAATTGCAAGCAGCCAGAGATGCCGATGAAAAATCTGGGTTTCCTTCAGTTTGGTCCTTCTACCTTCATCATGGATAGAATATACCCGACTTCCGTGGTTTTGGTAAATCTGACACTGCTTAATGCAAGTGAGGAAACAAAACTTTCCACCAGCCACAACCATACGTTCAAGTTTTTGACAGACCGGATGCACAAATCTTTGCGCAACGAGTCTTTTGCAGTTCTTTGTGCGGATGCACGGCTGACACTAAAAGCAGATCATTCCCCTTGGAGCGATGTGAGGGGACAATGGCCACATTTTTTTATTCACAACGGTCCATCCCCTGTTTGGATAGACGAGCTGCAGCTATTCTTGGGGATCGGACACATGGCACGGGGAAAGCGGCGAAGCCAGCAGATGGGCTTTCTTCCAGATCACTACACGCACCAGTTCTTTGCGCTTGCCGGAGATGATTCGCAGGGTGGGCAGGCATTTCGCTTGGTTGCTGCTTCGCCTGAGTTCTGCTTCAGCAGCGCTCAGGCTCCACAAGATTCTTGGCATCCCAGCTTATAGAGTTTGGAACACTCCTACAAGTTGACTGTTTTACAGGTGGCAGTATTTGGTCCTCTTTGTTTTCCGTGTGCAGACGCTAAGGATTGCGAAAGTATACAGTTTGCAAGCACTTTGATTCGAGATGGCAATAGCCTTCTTGTCGGATATGGTGTGGAGGATTGTGATGCATTTCTTCAGCGCTTTTCCCTGGATCAAGTCCTGCAATCCTTGCTCAATGTTTCTGACGTTTAGCACAGCTGGCATCAGATAAAGTTGAGCCATATTTTGTTTGGAGTTCGCTCTTTTTGCCGCCACATATTTGTGCAAATGGCCCCATGGCCCATGATCATCCATGATCCATGTTCCGCGTTCACATCCATGCTTATTCCTCAAATTTGCCGCAGCCTTTTGCAAATATCGAGGCCATAGATATGAAGAGCTGTGCTCCTATTGCCATTTAGTCATTTAGTCAGCAACTTGGGATTGATCGCCTACGCTGCATATCATGTAGGGCGGCTGGGTCCAATACATGTCTCTACATGGGTGCAGGGCCAGATTACATTACAAGATATCACAAGTGGGCAGAGGCCGGATGAGTTGGCTCGGCTCCGGCGCAAAGTCAACCACAATCGAAACGGCGTTTGCATGTCAGTCATGTGCTTCAGGTGCACTCACTACCCAATATTTGCTTCAGGTTACGAAAGCTACAGTAATCATGATACTACATGGGGGGTGGTTTGTCAAGATCTTGTGGTCTTTCGTCGGCCGGTTTGAGGGCTGTGAGGCAGCTGTGCACGAGATGCTCCTTGTTGCCCACGCAAATGTTTTTTGCGATAGCAACATGTATATATATATAATGTAAATTATATATACAAGAACAAGACCGTTGCTATTGCTACACTCAATTTGTTTGAGGGTTATCTAAAATGGATCTTGAATAAAATGGATGACACGGATTTGAACAGTCAAATTAGCCAGTTTGGTTTAAACACTTTGGCGGTATAGGTGTTTGAGACGAGAATCCATTTTATTCAATCTGAGCTTTAATACGATGATGAAACAGCTGTTTCATTGAGGTCATAAAAATAACATGACAATAATCAGAAATAATAACACGCCGAAAATAGACCTGATAAAAGCAAGGAAACACCGCAAGAAACTGCTTGCACCTATTTGTAGCCATTTTGGCTCTTTTCCCGAAAGTCTGCCATTTTGTATTTCAGATCTTCAAGATGGAGGTGAGTCATTTTTGGGAGCAGGGGCAGGATATGTTAAACAAATTCTTCTGGCCAGGAACCCGAGTTTGGCACCATCATCGCGTGAGTGGACTACGTTGGACGCAAGGTTACAAATATAATTGGATAATTAAACTTCAACATGTTTTGTTCCTTTTCTCATGTGATCAAACTGACGCAGGAAGTTTGCCGCCTTTGTCAGGAGATTGTTTCTTTCACTTTCTTCGTCAAATTTTAAGGCATCTTGACACAGCCGTGGCACCGTCGAAACAGGATTGATCCACAAGCTGCGACATGTTTGTGAAGACCCGAGTGCGTAGTTCACGGGGTGGCGACCTTAGACTAAGCCTTAGACTTAATTGAGCATTTGTTGATAGCTTTTTGTATGGGAATATAGATGACTCAGTCACGTCTGTGCACTGCGAGAAATCAAGAAGGGAGAGGGGATTTCAACCACGAAAAAGGCAAGCTCAAACAGACACACATGGTCAAACTCTCAGCTAAGATCGTGCCAGGTTCCTGACCATTGTCACTGCGGCCTCTGGATGCAAGCCTAGCCAGCCTACGAAGTGCAGCGCATTGACTTGCGTGGCAGAAGTGACTCAACCCTGGTGGAATGCCAAACAATGTGTTTTTTTGGGTATGTAGGCGCCAGCTTCATGGACGCAGAGAATTTTAGCATATTTTTGTAAGCAAAACGGGATTCATCGATAACAATCGCTAAAAGTCATTTCATTAGACGAAGTGCATTTAGAATCATTGCTGTTATGTAAAGCAATAAAAGTGCATTTTTGCTGATAAACCTGAGAAATCATGGATCACATTCCTTCTATTTTGCTTATGTTGTGTGATGTTATATTATGGTGTTTCACGGAAGGAACAGGTTGCCGAATTTGCATACTCACAAAAGTTTAAGCGCAAAACTGGCTGGCTTTTGATATTTGATTTCACGTCACTTCGTTGAGCCTCAGCGTCGCCCACACGACGGTCTACTACCAGCATGCATGGACAGGGAATGGGCCATGCCCGGCGCCAGTCACCTTCATGATGGCGGTGGAGGGAGGGTAGCTACTCTTCCACCAGGTTCGGGCCGTCAATCCCAGCACCGCAAGGCAGCGCCGGGCGAAAGTGCTTGGATTGTTTTCACATGTTTTCATTGCTGACATTGAGAGATTGCAACTTCTCAGGCTTTTCCGAAGGTGATTGAAGATAGAGTAGGAAGAACTGCCTGGGACTGACAGGATCTTCCAAAGATTTAACAGAGTTACCAAGTCAGGATTTACACTAAAGGTGCTTTAAGTTGCACGTGTGCATATGTGCTTCAGTTTTGGCTTTGCTCATTCAGGAATTAAGTGAATGCTTGTGACGCTTGTGTTTCATTTTAGAAATTAAAATCGGCAGAGCCAGTTCTTTTGACAACGTGTTGCGTGACATGTTGAACGCAACGTTGTCAGAACAATCTGTCTCTATTTTTCTTTGTCTATCTCCATTGCCGAAATGAAATACAAGCATGCGCCTAATTGACGAATGAGCAAAACGAGAAAGAAGCGCGCGTTGCAACTTGGAACAACTTGAGTTTGTCTCTTCCGGCTCTTAAGGCATGTCAATCCGGAGTTTGCAACTCTGTGGAATCTTTGGCTCAACCAAAGCAAAAGAAATTAAGCAAACTGCTCCGTAAACATCTAGTGCTCAGTTTCAGGCACATCTTTTGGCCCTTTCTCTAGCCAACCTTCGGAATGGCCTGAGAAGTTGTCTCAATGTCAACAATGAAAGAAATGATGTCAAACAGCGAAAACATGTGAAAAAAGCATCAGCCATTCCTAGTCCATTCACCTGTTGTAGATCGCCTTGTGGGCTACGCTAAACCTCAATGAAGTGACATGAGCAATATCAAAAGCGGGTCAGTTTTGCGCTGAACGTTTTGAAAGGGCAGCATGCTTGACCCTCGATGAAGCCTGCTTGGTGAACATTGTCCTGGACCTCCTGAGGGTACTCCGTGTGGATACTGAAGCCTGGGACGCCTTTTGCAGTGTGGGTGGAGGTCCTCGTAATGACCTGCGTCTACTTGCGGCCATGGCTCCGTGCACAATTCCACAAATTTGTGCTTCATGTCTTTTGCCCTCGGGGGACGGTCTAAGTCCAGTGCAGGCGACACAGGTGGGGCTGATGTGGCGCAATGCTAGGTGGGTGGTTCATTTGACGGGAGGAGGAGATCCTTCACTGTTTATTGACAGAGACCCTTGGATGCCAGAGACGAGCAGCAGCAGGATCGAGCTTGGGAAACAAGGAGAACATCTTGAAGCTTGGCAACATCCTGGACCAAACAGACGACTCCGAGATGAGGATGCCGGAGAAGGTCAAACTTCATGAGTTGCTGTGATGGGCGCACCTCCCCAAGACGAAGAAGAAGCAACGGATGCGCAGTTGGCAGCTTTGTACCAAAGGGTTTATGCACAGAAGCTGGCACCCTACGTGGATTTTGCCGCTTGGCTGCCGTTCGGACGAAGAGTACAAAAGAATCAGAAGTTCAGAGCCTTCTTGCCAATCGGGGATGGCTCATTTGTGATGAAAGAGCTCCCAGGACCGCAGAACCTCCAGCAATGGACAGTCTGTTGGAGGGTGTTCAAGAACAGCATGCATTTCGTTGGACATTGCAACCTTAGCTTCATTGCAGTTGCGCGAGAAGGTCATCGAGAAGCTGGTCCTGCAATGGCCGAAGGCCTGGGGGCTCATTGCCCAAGCAGACGACAAAGCAAGAGCTGAGAAGCTCTTGGACGTCGCAGCTGGACAAGCGCCGCCCAGGGAATACACGGATGATGCGCTTGGACGGCGTGCTTCCGTATGGTGGCGACGGATGAGCGATTCTGGAATGAACAGGTCAGGCACCCTGCAGCGGCATGGATGGCGAGTGGAGCTCACGGGGCACCCAAGCCACCGGCTGAGGCTTTGGCAAGCGCACATCTTCCGGGACTTGCTGCAGACGGCGGAGAGGGAGATGACAGAAATGATAGAATCGAAGAAGACAGGCCAATCGCGATAGACGAGCGGCGAAGCAAAAGCGATGGGCGATGGGCGGCTGAAAGAGAAGAGCTTACATCCTTCAGGGGCCAGAGGTCTAAAGGTGAGGCAACAGCCGGTCGACAGAGTCTCCGTGTTATTTGCTGAGCTTTGCACTCGGCTGTTCACAAACATGTCGCAGTTCGGATAGCGATCCTGTAAAATCATGTCAGGGCTGTTTCAAAAACATGAAGAAGAAACAACAAAGAAGTCAAAGGACACATCTCCTGGCCAGAAGCAATTTGAACATGTCCTGCCCCCCCTCTCCAAAGATGACGCGCCTCCATCTTCAAGATACCACGCCCAAAACTGTAGACCTTTTGAAAAGAACAAAAGGCTACAATAGCGGCGCGGCATTGGCTTGTTCTTGATGTTTTCATGTTTGATGATTTTTGTTGTGTTTTTAAAGCCTTGGCGAAACCAAAACACATTGGATTAATGATTAATGCGTTGATGTGTGCTGGTGTGTTTTTTTGCTGTTTTACCCTTTGTTTCATGATGTCTCATGTTCCAAGTTCGTCGTGCACACCTTCTGAAACCATGGCTTCCAGACCCATTTTAGATAACTGTCCGAGAAAGTGGTTTTCTTTTTGATTCTTTTTGCACTTCCACCTGCGCAAATCATTGTGCAGGTCTTTAAGTCCTACCAGTCATTTTACATAACCAATTTTTTGGATAAACTTGGAACCTCAATATATATTTGGTAGCAACGGGGATGTTTTTAGACTTGTGCATATTCATCTACCCATCCATGCGCCTACTGTATCTATGTAATGCGGTGAATGACCAATCCATAGCAAAAGAAACAACCCAAGCGACACATCACACCCAGAGACAAACGGAGAAAACCATATGACCAGCAAAAACATTTTTTAAAGAGGAGTAAAGACCCCCGCACGGGCAAACTTGCTTCCGGAAAACCCACGAAGTTTGTGCATTTCGTTTGCCACCACGCAGCACTGGCTGCTCATTGTATACTGGCAGGGTTGTCGCTATATGGTGCCCAGCATTTGCTGATTCACTCTATGTTGAGGCTGGGGGCCTTTTGTAACGTCCCTTTGTGTTTTCTTATTTTGCGGCCGTTGTGTTGCCCTATGTGCGCAACACAGATAGGAGTTTGGGCCGAGTTTGGCCACAGGCCCAATAGACCACTCGCAGAGCGCACCGTGTTGTGCCTGGGCAGGTGATGTTCTGAGGGTGGCCTGGGTGGTGATGGTAGAACAGCTTTCAGGAGTTTCAGTTGTTGATTCGTTGATCACCTTTTTTTCCGCATTTGTAGCACAGCTTTGTGCTGGCAACTCTTCGTGGCGAGCCCGTTTGAATTTATGCCACCGGGCTGCCTGTGGACATACTCAAGCAGTGGCCAGTTGGCGAAACGAACGTGTTATTTGTTTCGTGCAACGGATGTTTATTGCATGTTGCAATCATTCGGATGTATCGATGTGTTTCTTTGAGTGTGGCTATAGGGGGCAAAATCCTGAACATTTTCCCCTCATCGGCTCAAGACCTGTGCTTTGCACGCACGTTCAATCTTACACCATCTTACCCGAACGTCCTAAAACAACATTTCGTATACGTATACACTTCTTCGCGCCGGGCGCCCAGCTCTACTTTTTTCATCTCGTTTCGAGTTGATGAAACATCATTCCGAATCAGGTCACTTTCATGATGCGAGGGCTTCATTTCGCGGTATGGATAGGCTGGAGAATCGCATTTCATCGGTCGGTTTGTTTGGGGCAAATGCAAAATGAAACTGACCCCTGTACCTGCATTGTTTGCATGTTGATGCTTTCAACGGTTTTTGTAGTCGCACTTGACACCTGTTGAAAAAACGCGTTGGACATGAAGGTGCTTAGTGCTCCTTGTTGGGCAGGATTCTCCCTCATCAATGCCGCTGCAGAGAACTACGATGTGAAGGCTTGTGGTGCATCAATGCCCGAGTTTTTTCTGCACGGTGCCAGGAAAACTAGAGAGCAATAATGAGCAACACATGTACCAGGAACAAGAAGCTGGTAGGGGCTCCTGGCATCGCTACTAGGAGCAAGGAGGCTCCTAGGGGCTCCTGGCCTTACTACTAGGAACAAGAAACTACTAGTGAACACCTGGTGGGTATCGAAAATACGCGACCGCAAGAGAACATGGCAGAGAGATCAGAGAGAAATACAGTGCCAGCTGGCCATCGAGTGAGGAGCGAAGAAGCACGCTAAGCCACTCGCTCTTGCAGACAGGGCTGAAGGCACGGGCGCGGAGCGGGCCAGCAGGCAAACAACCAAATGAGGAAGGCCTTAAGGTCAAGCAAACGAAACAAGCCCAGCAGCAGGGCAGGGCAACCTAAAAGGCTTAGAGCCCAAACAAAACATAGCCTTTAAACACATACACCTATCAGGAGGCTCAGGGTGTAAATCTGTGCAATTGTCTCATTTTCCACTCCTTCAGACTTGCGGCATTTTTTGAAGGAGGCCAAGCAGCCTGCCCTCGACGCCAGTACGGAGGGCATTTCGGCTGATAGAGCAAGAAGAATAGGCGATCTCGCTTTTTGCGGTTCTTGAGTCAGTAAGAATTCTGTGAGTCTGGGTATCTCATGTACACCGTTTGGATGCTTGCGAAAAGGGGGGGCGAACACGTGTCCTCTAGCAGAACTGAGGCGCACCACTTCAAAAGGAGAAGGTTGTGAACGAGAGCGCGCAGAGGATGAAGAACATTCTTGTCGAGAGCATCCTCACAACAACGAACCCTCTTGTTTCCATACAAGGGCCCACTTCTTTGTTGCTGCTACTGCCGTTTTGCTTGTCAGCTCTTGCTATGATTTGTTCATCCATTTGGTTCCAGTTTGAGGGTCGCTTGGGTGGGAGCACGCTGGAAGCAGTCCCGAAAAAGCGATCTGGCTTGGAATACCTCTCCAACGCAACAGCTCCTCTTCAGGAAGCATTCGAGGATTTCAGAAGCAGAACAGCTGCCAAATCCGGGTCTGAAGTTGAAGAGCCAAAGGCCTTGCCTTCGTGCCAACACAAAACTCCAATGCAGGCTGCGCAACCTGAGGTGCCTCCAACAGGGACCATCACTGTCCAGGAGCCTGCAAAGCTGTTGCAGCCTGGGAAAGAGTATTCTGGCGGTGAGATCGTTGTAGAAGCCCTGCGCTTGGCTGGTGTTGAGCGCCTTTTTGGCATCCCTGGGGTTCAGAACTTGGCACTCTACAATGCAATTTGCAGCCCTGCGGAAATGGGGACTGTCTCAGCTGACATGGGCATGGACATGGCTATGCACCTGATTGGGAATGAAGAAGCCGCTGCCTACATGGCTTGGGGCGTTTGGCATAAGGAGAGGCGCTTGGGCTGTGCATGCTTGATTGGCGGTCCAGGTGTCACCCATGCCCTTGCCGGTGTAGCTTGTGCTTTCAGAGACCGTACACCTTTGATCGTCCTAACAGCCGGGGTTCGGGCTGGGGTCGAGCGCTTCCAGCTGCATGATGTGGACAACCTTGCCGTGCTGAAACCTGTGTGCAAAGCTTTGTTCCGGCCTGCTTCGGTGGAAGAGATCGGCCCAGCCATTGCAGAAGCCTGTAGGTCTTCACTTGAGGGAAGGCCTGGGCCTGTGGGAGTTGAAATTGCCTGTGACCTTTACAACAAATACGGGACCTTTGTGTGGGATAGCAGTTGCAGCAAGAGAGTCCAATACTTTGACCCCACACCTGCTCCAACCCGCCCAGTGCCAGCCATTCAATCTCTATTGGCATCCGACCCAATGGTGTCATTCTTGCATTTCCTGACAGCGGAAGCCAAGAAACGGGAACTTGATTGCACATTGGTGGCCGAACCTGGCTACTGCGCTCAAATTGCCGCAGTTGCATGGGAAAGCTCAGACAAGTCCTGGCAATTTCTTTGTCCTGGGTGTGGATCCCGGCCCAGCGGTCTTGCATCTGATAGTCCTGGTGTAGCAGTTCCAACTGCTATTGGGGTGGCACGTGGCCAAGCCGAAGTACCTGGCGTGGTAATGTCCTTTCAGGAAAGCAACGCTTTGATGCCGCAGGGCTTGGAGCTGTCGCATGCCCAAGGCTTGCCGCTTTTGCTGGTCGTGCCTCAAGTGCATGCCGTCAACGCCGTGCTCATGGCTGAGAGCAGCTTGACATGAACACTGTTTCTTTTCTTCTTTTGGTCATGTGACAATGTGTTTGGAGCGCCTTATGTTTGTGCCTTATGTTTTACAGCGACTTCCCATGCATCCAGGCATGGGTATTGCTACATATGTTGCGGGCACCCTGGAAGACCAGACTGGTGCTCTTTCAGCTCTTGAAGGCGCTGCTGCTTTGGAGACCTCGCTTATAGCAGTGCCAAAGCTTGAGGGTGCCCGGGCTGTAAAACAGTTCTGGTCGTACGGGTCTACCACCCCACAGCTTCTAAATCTCCGCTTGTACTCGTTCTTAGTTTCAATGTAGATTCAAAAAGCGTGTCTCAACTAAGGGCAGTCTCAGGACGAGATGCAGAACCTTCCCCAGACCTCAGCGACAAAATTGGTTGATGGGCTGGCAGCGGCAGGGGTAAAACTGCTTTTCTCAACATGCGCCAACCCAGCACAGAAGAGATTGGTTCAAGCGTCCCTTGGCATAGAGTTCGCCATATGAGTGTGCCGCGCCGCATGTTTGGACTGTGTTCTCTTATCGAGCGGAAACTAACTACTACATCATCCTTGTTGTTTTTGCACGAGTCTTTGCCTTTTCTATAGCATACTGTAATCCATGAGACCCGAAATGAAGAATGGCAGGGTTTATATAGAAGAGCCAAGGTTAGACGCAGCTGCACGAGAGAGTGTGGTGAGGGTCGTGACTTGCACAGACTCGCAAAGCGTGGGATTCATGGCCGATGGGGCTGGGAGATGCTTTTCTGGGAACTCAGCGGTGGGAGCCTGTTTGGTAGATGCTGTGGATGCATTTGCCTTGCCAACGCTATCAGGAGTTGGTGAGGCCTGGCAGGACGGAGTGCCACTTCTCTTGCTTGTACTGAGCCCACATCTAGAGGAGCAAAGTGTTGGACCGCTTGCTGAATTCTCCAAAAAAGTCCTCGTGGCAAAGACAACAGGCTCCAACAAGTGGCAAGAGATGCAGGAGCAGATCACAATGGCCACCAAGCTTGCTGCTGCACCTCCAGCTGCTCCTGTGACTTTGCTGTTGCCTCGTGGTGACTTTCTCAGTGCCTCAGACTGTCCGAGAGGCCCATCCTTGTTGGAATGCCCATTGGTGGCTCCATTTCAACCATGTCTGCCCAAAAGACTCAAAGCACCTCCAGTTCCACTTGCAGATCCTGAACCACATAATCTCGAGGCTGGCGCCAGCAAAGCAGTGTCTTTGCTACTGTCATCCCGTCGCCCTTGGATTCATGTTGGTCTTGGATGTGCGAGCCGAGAAGCTACAGCAGATAGGTTGGTAGAGAGATTGGCGGACACCTTGGAAGCACCTGTCTCAAGCACCTTTTCCGGCAAGGGGGTGCTCCGTGAAGACCACCCACTTTGGCTTTGGTCAATAGCAGGTCCTGCCATGCCAAATCAGTTAAGAGAGGTGGTCGATTCATGTGATACAGTTTTGATTCTTGGAGCCCAGATGGGTGAGATCGCCTCATGCAGGCGACAATGGCCTGCCAGGCGAACCAAAGTGATACATGTTGATGCTGACCCCTGTGTTCTTGGAGCTAACTTCTTACCTGACTTACCAGTGCTGGGAGATGTCACGCAATTTCTCAAATTGGTACTTGCAGAGCTTGACGCTCAATCAATCAAGTTGAATCGGCGGAATGCATCCAATGGCAGTGGCGAGCTACATGATCCGACACTAAGAGCTGAACTCAAAGCTGCTCACGAAGCACTTCGGGCACAAATGCGTGCTGAAGCTGCAGAACTCCCAAAAGCTCAGTGTTCCCTTACTGCAATCATTACTGTAATCACTTGTGTTACTTCTTTGTTATGTGTGGGGTGGGTGTCATGCTATACACATATATAATGTGCTCGATGATTGTGGTTTGTCAGGTGGCACTGAGTTTTGCTGAGGTTCCCCGTTCGGGCTCTATGCTGCACTCCAGGCTGCAGTTCCTCCCGGGCAAGCTGTTTTTGTATCTGACTCGGGGAATGGGACTGTGCTTGGCGCGGAGTTTCTCCGTTTGGCCATGCCACGGGAGTTTTTGGCTCCCACCGACTTCTCCTCCATGGGCTTCTTGAATATCTTGAGTCTTGATTCAGTTGAAAGATTTACGGTGATGGCATATATACATAATATTATATATATTATAGCGCAAATGATATTTTCATGTTTCGCGCCATGCTTTCGGCGCCCAGGTTATTGCATACCTGCAGCCCTGGGGGCTGCGTTAGCAGGACGTTGTCGAGGAGAAG